GGTTATGAAAGGGGACGTGTGTGGGAGTGTGGGTGGGGAGGGAGGGAGAAGGGGATTAAGGGGTATTATGTTTAGTACACATGGTGTGAGGGGCCACGGGGAGAACAGTGTACCACAGAGAAGGCACACAGTGGATCTGTGGCATCTTACTACACTGATGGACAGTGACTACATTGGGGTACAGGTGGGAACTTGATAATATGGGTAAATGTAGTAACCACACTGTTTTTTCATGTGAAACCTTCATAAGAGTGTATATCAATAATACCTTAATAAAAGTATATACTATATATATAAGAGAATAACTGGTATTTTCTTCTTCTTAATTTCCCTCATTGGCTCATTTAAAGAAAGCACATAATTAACTGTCATTTATTAAACACCAAATACATACCGTATAATAGTGAGATGCTGCAAGTGTAAACACAAGGTCCTTGTCCTGGAGTTGCTCACAATTTATCAAGTGCCAGTTTTTATGTCAAAAGACAAGTTGGTGACACACAATTTAAAACAAGGTGCAAAAAATGAACCCTGCTCATTACAAGGTTATAAGAGAACGTAATGAACAAGCCAGGCTCTAAAAGGTTATAAAGCAAATTATTTGGAATTCAAGTATTTTTCATAGAAATATTAAAAATGAGTAGTTCATTTCTATAAATCTATTTAATTATCCCATAATTATACATGACTACTTTTAACAAGTTTTGCCTGGCTTGTTCATTACGTTCTCTTACAACCTTGTAATGAGCAGGGTTCCTATTAGAAATAGGAACTAGTAGAAAACAGTATTGTTTCCAAGTCTCCCAGCTAACTCCACTGCTCTGATGTAACCAGATTTAAGTAAAAAGCTTTAGGCTCCCCCAGCTGAGATTCAAGTACAAATGAATATACTAAAAAGCTAATCCTAACAGTTTTTAATCTGAATCAGGTATAGAAATTCAAACTCATTCATATTTTGCAGAAAGAGGATGCTGCAGCACTGGGTTAGGAACTAATGAATTTAAAACTTTTTTTTACAAGGACCTAAATTAGTCTGTGTCCATGAAATTTTCCACAATCCTCACAAGCTAGAGTCACAATGATACCAGAAGCAACAGCAAATAGAAAACTTTTCTTTATGGTCATATTCCAATTCAGGCTGGGGATTACATTGCTTTCTAAAACAAGACACTAGAAGTGATGACAGTAAAGGGATGGAATTACTAATACTTCAGAGTTTTCTCTCCAAAAGGTAGAATCACCTTTTCTCAAAGCACAAAGATCAAGAAATCCTTTCTACTGTCTCTTTAGAGTTCTACACTATTGTGTGGAAGTTAGGGCAGTAGAGGACCCAAGGACTATAGCATGCTTTAAGGACTTTTGCCATTTCCACTGAGTGTCCTCAAGTTGATTTTGATAAAACTCTAATTTACAGATCTGCCCTCCTCTATGATTCTCCCCTCCCAGCATCAAAAATCCTTACTGACTGAGCTATATTCATGTCACTGTCTTAACAGACTTACTTTCCCCCTGAGAGGGAAAATGCATAAATAATAAATTTGAGGTTTACTGTCTCTATGTGCCCAAAGTTTTTTATGTTGATGTTTAACTCTGTGTGTGTGGGAGGATAGGAGTGGGAACAGGTATGAAAGGGTTGTAGCTGACGAAAAACACTCAGCTATTAGATAATCAACAACACTGGGCTCTGGCCTGATGGTAAGAAGAGAATGCTATACATAGAAACATCTTTCTCTCCCTCTGTCCCTCACCTAATGCTAGCTCTCCTGCGTAATGTGATTTTTGTGTGTGTGTTTTTCCTGAAGAAAATGAGATGAACCCAGCCATGTGTAATGACATCTCTACAGTCTGAAAGAAAAAAAAAAAAGCAACAAATTCTAGTCCTGCTTGCAGCCACTCTAAAATACAAATAATTCCCACCTTTAACCTGGCTGCAGAATAGCACATACGCAGCTAAATGATTCCCCATTATTGAGATAGCCAATCCTTCTACCAGAACAAGAAACAACATACATGTAAATCATTGACTCTATGACTCTATTACTTGAAGACAGGAAGATGAGGAAGGAAGGGCCAATGGAATCCAAATTTCTAGGGCAGAATGAGTTAAAAGGACAAAAAAAAGTTAGTTGACAAACATAATTTGAAGGCCTTGTAACTTATTTCTCTGTACATTTTAGCCTGCCTTGATTGAGTTCACTCATTGAGTCACTAGACTGGTTATGCTAATATATAAAATATGAATAGAAAAAAAGATGATTTATGATTATAGTTATGGATTATAGAATCTAAACTATTTAAGGAGAGAAATAAGGACATCAACAATGAAGAGTTTGAATGGGATGGGGGTAACCAGAGTGAGAGGTCAGAAGGGTGGAGGGTGAAGGTCAGCACATGAGAAGAGAGAAATCAAGATTTAGGAAGTGATGAATGTACTGGGAAAGATAAGACCTAGGACAACCACAAGCTAAGATGAGGTGCAGGGGAAGATCAATAGAAATAGAAATAGAAACAGAAATAGAATGAGGAGGTCAAGGAATGGAGAAGGTGAATGCAACTAGAGAGAGTGCCAATTTCACCAAATGTGACATATATTAGTAGCAAAGTACATACTAAAAATAAAAAAACCTACACATACAGAGAACTTTTTTGATATTACTAAATGTATACATTAATTTATAAAACAATACTCTCAAAAGGAAATGATACAAAGTTCTCACTCTCTGAGCTGTTTCTGCGGCGGCGGCTGCCATTGCAGCAGCTTTGGCCTTCTCAGCCTCATCATATGTAGGAAGAGAGGTAGCAACGCTGTACGGAGGTGGCACAGGATAAAACTCACTGTAAACTTCTGTATCTGAAGGAAAAGGATTAAAAAAGGATAACCATTAAAAAAAATTATTTAATATAATTTTATAGCCAGAAACTAATTTAATAATTTACAACAGGCCACAAAGGGCTATTACTATTTGCAGTCCTGTTATAAGCTACCTAACATATAAATCAGTATAACTGTATATATTATTTAGTGTTATGTTTATTGTAGAGAAAGGACTGATAAATATCCTCTAAAGGCTGATATACAAGAACATCAGGAATGAAGTTCTGAAAATCTGTGCAAGACAAGAGAAACTCACCATATGTGAACATCCTCTATATGCCTGATTGCTATGCTCAAAACATTTAATTTACTGTTCCACAATCTTACAGCCAAAAAAGTAGAAATATCAGGAATAATAACAGACATACATAGCACTAACCATTAACAGACTACTTCCATATACATTAACCTTGGCAACTCTGATGATTTGCCCAGTATTGCATAACTGTAATTGGGAACTGTAATTGGCAGAACCCAGGGATTTCTTGACTCCAAACACTTTGCTCTGAAAATATATGAGGTTAATTTTTCCACTAATCAGTTTAAGCAACTTACTGAATCTCCTAAGCAAACTCAGTGTTTCTCCTTATGAAACAACTGATGGTTTTTAACTCTTCTTTACTCTGACCCTTTCTCCTCCCATTTTTCCCTATTTAGGTCTTAAGATTTTTTTTTTATGAAAAATTCATCCCTCTCCAATTTTTAAACTATTTCTGAAATATGATCCTCAGCAATATACTACAACAGTAAGTACAGACTGCTTATTAGAAAAACAAAAACAAAAAAGCACTGCATCACTTATTGCCAACTTAAGGAGAGTAAGTAAAATGACACACACAGATCAATCAACTGCTTAGACTTATACTGGAATCCATGGCATGAAAACAGGTAGATTCTAAAAGCATCATATACCACAATGTTTGACTTCACTTCTGTGATTGCTCTGTTATAATTACAGAATTGTTAACATTTTCTACAATGGCTTATAATTTTCTCTATCTTCATCAGAATTTATCTAATTTCCAACACGGAAAAACATTTCATTCTAGCAATATTTTTCTTACTGTGTTTTATGTATATAGGTTTTAAAATAAGTTTTTAAATGCTCTCAATAAGAACTAAGGATCTAAAGTTAGGCTATTTTTAATTTAATAACAGGAAGTGGTAGAAAAGGTTAAATACTGAATGTTATCTGCCAAAAAGCACAAGAGTCATAAATTCTTAGAAAAGACTCATTATTAGGATGACTACAGACAGTCAAGTGTATAGATTTCTTTGTTTCTGGAGACTAGAATAGAGGTAAAATGTAAGTGAAAACAATGGTTATGAACTTAAGCAGTAACATTAAAATTATAAATCTTGAAAGTAGGATCAATGATATATGTTACCCAAGGAGATCAGATCTTTTACATTAATATCTTTTACATAATACTACCTTACATTTTCAGAAAGTTTTATTATACCCAAGATAGAAAAAATATCCCTACCAGTAACAGAGGAAAGTTGGGAAGGAGCACTAAATTGCTACAGCTTTAATTTTCACTTATCACTTTACTTCATTTTCTTCTACCCTTTAAGGCTGTGGTTCTTAACCAGAGAATTTTAAGTCTGGGGACTTCCAGTCCCAGATGCTCCTCTGAGAAGTTGTGTGACCTCAAGAAAATCACTTACGCACTATGAAGTTCACTTTCTCATCCATAAAACTGACACAGCAAAGCTATATTATATGGTATTACAGGATGAAATACAAAAGTATTCAAGAGCACTCTGTAAATAGTGCAGTATTATACAAATGTCACCTATTATTATTGATGTTGCTCAGATCTATAAAACCAATAATGAAGTCACCTACTAAAAAACATAATCTCCACAGAAAATGGCAATGCCAATGGCTTAAAGTATAACAACAGTAAGAAGCTGCAGAAAACTCTTATCAATAGTTTTCATTAAATAGGGACCTAAAATATTCTACAAGAATTACTTGGTTCTTGTGGCCATGAATGGCCTTTTTAGCACAAACGTAGAAAATTTAAAAAGAGCAGTAATCATAGAGACTATAAGAATAACTGAACATCTAGGTACCAGTTTCAGCTTGTCTTACAGTTTAAATTGAGATTTACCTAACCTTTAAAAATGGCATGCTGCATTATCAGAAATGTTCCATATCATAGAAAAATGAGAGGATTCCCAATTCATATTATGCTGCTCCCATAATATTAATACCAAAACCCCAAAAACAGTATGTAAAATAAGTTATATATCCCACTTATAAAGCTGCGAAGACTTTACATAAAACAGGAATAAATCTAAATCAGAAGAAAATGGAATATGGTAACAATTTATTCCAGGAATACAGGAATGGATTGACTAAAGAAGTCAATAACATATTTTATTACATGAAAAATTAAAGAAGAAAACCAAGTAATTTCACAGATGATGCCAAGATTTATGGACTACTGGAGCCACTGAAATAGGAAGACTATCAAAGGCAAAGGTTTGGTGGTGGGGAAAGAGGCAATATGCAGTTGTGGTAGTTTGAAAAGTTAGTCTGTTCTTTGAAACTCATTCAATCAAGACATGGAGACTAATTCATCAGTCATCTTGAATGAAGACTAACCTTAGTGACTACTTTTAACAAACCAAATGTGGCAGATCTGACACTTGAAACAATGTCATAACAGGAGACAGCTTCCATCTGGCCTCCCCTCAGATTTGTTTCAAGGTTGTTCTTGAAACCCATCCTGCACTCAGTGAGGAAGCCCAGGACACGGGCCACATGTAGCTGCTCTAGCCAGCAGCCACAGCTGAGGCCCTAGCTAAAGCCTACATCAACCACCAAGATGTAAATAAGGAAGTCATGAAGATGACTCCAGCCCCAGTCAAACCACAATCACATGAGACCTGGGATGAAATCACACAACTGAGCCCAATCCACCCCAGAACCATGAGAATCAATAATAATAAATGATTGCTATTTTACTCTATTAAGTTTTATGTAGTTTGTTACACAGCAATAGCAATGGTGGTCACAACAAAAGACCTGCAATTTCAGTCTTAGCATTTCCATCATTTCAGATATAGACATCATCAGGAAAATAACTCATTTTCTTTCTCCAAGATTACTATCAAATATACATATATTTTAAAATCTAGGTAGCAAATTATTGCACTATATTCTAGAAACTTGCAAAATAATGAAAATTTGGCCCATAATAAATTTAAGTATCAATCTTGCTTTGGCTTATTTAGCCAAAGACAAATAAAAGTGATATAACTCAATATTAAAAACATGTGCATCCAGAGAAGACAAATACAAGACTCTGTGGCACCTTACTATGCTGATGGACAGGGACTGCAATGGGGTGTTGGGGGGACTTGATAATATGGGTGAATGTAGGAACCACAATGTTTTTCATGTGAAACCTTCATAAGTGTCTATCAATGATACCTTGATAAAAAATAAATAAAAAATAAAAGTAAAAACTTGTGCATCAAACCTGGCACTGAACAAACTCATTGTTTTGTTCATTGATCAATGGCTCATTGATCAAATGAGCATTATATACAAATAAAAGAAGTTACTAATTTAACTAGCAAGAAGACTTTCATGAAGATGAAGATGATTTTCAGTAACTGTCTAAAAGAGTAAATGGTTTGGTGTTAGAAATACTGGATCTTTTTACACATCCCATATGGTCTCAATAAATTTTGTACAAGGAAAAATGGTTAACTAGAGAAAGTTGGCATGAGTTTGAGAGAATTAGATGACATTAACTGCAGAACAAGGGTTAAGGATGAAATACTCTAGTGAAGGGTTTTTTGTTAAAATGTTTTTCAATAATCAACTTAAAATGATTCATAATGAATTTATTAAATATTTGAGGCTATTTATAATAGCATACAAAATTATACTAAAAATTCAAATATATA